CCCCAAATAGCCACAGGCATAGTCTGGTTCTTAATGAAGTTCCTTACTTCAAGGGAAAGTGTGATAAAGCCACCCAGAAGAAATAAATCTTGAACATGGTAATGAAGAACTCAGACTTCATCGGTGTCAAAACATTACAGCCCGATTCATGTGTGGACAGGGGAATTTTCCTGAAACCTCCAGGGTCCTTTATTGTTTGTTCTTTGATAGTCAGTTTGTATCTTGGTATATGTGCACAAACAGAAATCACAGTTCCTAGCAAAATTGTTTCCCCTAATGTCCTTTAAAGGGTCACAATTTTATTGCTTTGTCTGCAAACAGAAGGAAATGCTGTTCCTTAAAAAGGAGCATCTTTGTCTGCTCTGGTGATCACGTGGATGCTGCCGCTGAGGAAACTCAAGAGCATCAGGGTCACCCTTTGAACCTTCTTCATCCACTGCAGCTGAATCCTCAACTCTCATTTCTTTCTAGCACTGATTTCTGTGCTGTGTCATAGGTGTTGTACTTTCTCTTTTCTTTCCTGTTTTGGCTCTTTCCTTAGGGCACAGTTCCTGTCTCTCTTTGTGTACACTCAAGTTTAAACTCTCTTATAAAGGACAAAGAGAATTTGTAAGGCAAAACTTAGCTGATACCTTGTGTTTGTGTTAATTCCTCTCTACTATTCAGATTACAATCTGGTTTAAATTACAGTGAAAATCCTTGGAGGATACTTGGTTTATGGACTGGGAACTTTCTTTGTGATTTTGCACTCTTATTCATTTTTAATGTAATGTTAATGTGCTTCTGTTTCTCACCTTTGTGTACTTTTCCACACTACATATTTACTTTAGGAATGCAGAATTTAGGACCCTGCTCAGACTGTGATACCAGGGTAACAACAGTACTTTTTTCAGGACTTTATGGAAGACCTTTTTAGCTCTTTAGTATTTGTGGTGTTCTGTTCCCTCAAGACTTAACATAACAAGTCTGTTTTGCATTCTTGTACGTGCTCAATACAGAGATTTAAAACTTGTTCTTCTGGGAGAAGATTTCTTGAAAGAGTATGTGTGTGTGGGGGAAGTTATACTACTTAAGTTGTGGTGAAAGCCTTTGAAGAGGTGGTAGGTAAGAAACATTCAAATCTGTCTGAAGGAAATCTAGTTGAAGATGTCTCTGCTTACTGCAGGGTGGTTGGACTAGATGATCTTTACAGGTCCCTTCCAACCCAAACCATTCCATGATTCTATGAAATCTTTTGTTCTTGTAAACATCAACAGCAACTTCGTGGGCTACTTTGGATACCACCACTGGGGATGTCGGTCAGGAGGAGAGCTCCAAGAAGGAGACTGGGGCCATGGCTAGGACTGCTGCTGTCAGTGGGTCCCACAGCTGGGAGCTGGGAAGGGAAGGGGGATGCTCAGTTAGGCTGTGGTCCCCATCCAGAGAAAGTGTTCACATGAGCTGCTGCCTCCCAGCTGAGAGGTTGGGGTGCTGTAGGAGGCTGGCTAAACCAGAGCCTAGGCCTCAAGTTCAAGTCTCGGCACACTTTAAATCCAGCCTTGCTTATTTATCAGGGTGGTGTCTTCCAAGGGCTACTTTTCCCTTCTTTCTCCCTTGGGTTTCTTACAAACTTCATGGTACTCAGAATTCGATTTCTTTATGACAACCCTCACAGGACTCTGAAAATGCTCGTTGGCTGTGCTGCTCCTGAGTGGGTGAAGTCTCCAACAGGACTTCATATACTTGCAAAATTGTTTCTGAACCTCGGGAACTTTCAGAGCCTCTGAAAAGCTGAGGGTGCTGCAGGTAGTGATATGGCTGAAGGGCTGTTGAACTGCTGTAAATGAGGCAAAATATAAAGATGAAAAGAAGGATGCAAATTAGTTTTTGGTTGCTTAGCTCTTAAGAAATTTCCCTAATGTTATACCTTTGTGGTTCATTTGGTTCTTCTTGCAATTCCTTTGATTGCAAATTATTTGTGATAGTTCTGCCACTCTTCCCCGTTACCTTTATTTTTTGAAAGGGTGAAATTGTTTAATTCTTGGATTCAGGGTTTACCATTTAATTTAGCTAACTGTGTAAAAAGGTGCATGGTTGTAGTGTGACCAGAGAAAGAAAGAATTGTCCAGAAGAAGGGGGTGGTTGTTTTAATGCAGTAAGATTTTCATTGTAATGTCTGATACTACTTTGCCTGACACTTTGTGAACAGATAAGATATTAGTTTAAATGCTTTGTGTAGTTTTGGGGGTTTCCACATCTAGGGTTGTTCTAGCCCTTAAGTGCCAGAATTAGTCTGTACAAGGAAACTGCGCTGCAAAAATAAATTATGCATTTTTTTGCATGTAGATTGTGCTGTGTGGGTGAGCGAGAGAGACTATCCATAATTCCTCTGACATAATTAATCCCTTATGCAAGGTAAATTCTTCTTACTGTTTCTTTTCCCTTTTCAACAATATATTAGTTGTAGAAGTAGCCAGTTTGTAGTGTGAAAATGTCATGGTTTATATTATGCTGTGCAAGATTAGATTAGCATAGAAATTCCATAAAACAAGTAATAGTATTGTTCTAGTGCTCGGTTGCTGTAGCCAATGATTTTGGGGGCTGGATTTTATATCTTAGGCATCTGAAGTGGGAGAATGGGGGAGGATATATGTTCCATTGTGGTTTCCAAACTGCGGTATAATTGGGATTCGGATAAAAACAAAGTGGGTCACGGCACAAACTTCTACTGAAAATCTGGAGACTTTAAAAACTCACTTGGAGTGCAACCAAAAGCAAAACTTTGAATGTGCGATTGGAGGAAAAAATAAAAAAGCCCTGACCTTCTCCCTCCAGTTACACCCCAATCTCCCATGCCCTTACCCAAAGCACCAAAACAGAGGCATATCTATCCTTCCCCCCCCCCCTTTTTTCTACCTTCCAGATCATTGGTTAAAAAAAGTCTTTTGCTGGAGGAAAACAAGTCAGAGGTTTTGCAAAATTGCACAGAAGCACTACTCCATAAACGTTGCCTAATGCTTTTCTGAACTCTGTTCATTGAGCTCTTGATCTCTGCAATGTCATATAACCCTTATTGCCAATTATCCACTGCGTAGGAAAGTATTTAAACTACATGCATGATTTCTTGATGGGAAATCCTCATTTTCTGCATTATGAGAAAGAATAAATAGCCTTTTCTGGGTTACTTCCTCAGTATTAGCCCTGAATTTATAGACACCTGTTTGTACCCTTTTTCAATCATTCATCGGCCTGAGAGATCCCACAATTTTTCCTCATGCATAAGTTTTGGATGCTTTTGAGCATCCTCAACAGCTTCCTTTAGACCTCTTCGTAGTATACTCTGCACCTTTTCAAATCCATTTCTCTGACAGTCACCAGAGCTTCACTAAATATTAAAGGTGTGGTTAGCTTTGGATTTCATGTTCTAGCTTGGTGTTTTCCAATTTTGTTTTACTGATAACGATGAACACTGTCTCTTTCTTCTGGCCGCCACAGAGTAGTGGCCTGAAGTTTGTCAAAGGACATACTACAGTAACTCAAAGATATATTTTAAGTTCTACTTCTGACTGGAGAGAGGCTCTAAATTACTTCCACAGTGTGCGAGCTCATGTGCAGATGTTTTTTACCAATACATGCTGACCCATACTTTTCAGTATGAATTTCTGCCTTTCCTATTCCACAGTCATTTACAAGGATTTCATGATGCTGTAACTCGTGGTGATCAGAAGCTTCCTGCAGAAAATTGATGTAACCAGATCACTTCCAGATTTTCTATAAATGGAGGCTCTGTGAAAAGAGTTGGTAAATTATGATTATTCTTAAATGTTCAGAAAAGCGTAGTTGACTCTTTATTTTTTTTTTTTCTTTTTTTTTTTTTTTTCCCCCTTTGTTCATTCACTTTGGTTCTGTAGTGACCTAAGGCTGACTCTGGTGGCTGGTTGAAATCTAGTGTGTTTTATCTTTTTCTCAAGTGAGTTTTAGGGAATAAAGTGAATGTGCTACAGCAAATTCTACATGTAGCAGGTATTTGGGGAAAGTTGCAGTTCTTGATAAGAAAGGATAGGGTGTCTTCTCTGTCATTTTCCTTAATCCCTTTGCAACTACCAAAGAAACTTGTTTGGTTGCCAGAATGTAAAGAAGAGTCAGTTTTGTCTTCCAGGAATTGAATTTGAAGGACACCATCAAAGCTTAGCTGGAAGTGCTGGTAGATACCTGATGAATGATGAGAAGGAAGAAATGTTTTGTTATTCACTGTTGCTTATTGAGTGATGGTCAAGGCAACTTAAAAGATAAATTATTCTTAAAATGTAGTTAGGGTTTTCTATATTGTGTGTGTTTACTACTCTAAAAAAAGTGTGAATACTTGTGGTAGGACAGATGAGTATTGATACAGACTATATAAGGTAACGTTAAAGGCAACAAGTCTTTTCCTGTAAAGCCAATGTACCTGAGAACTGTGGGCATGTAGCATAGGGCTAAATTGTTTACAGAATCCTTCAAAACCTAGGAAGAAGTGGATTGCTGACTTTGATCCAGATTTCTGAACTGGATGTACTTAAAAGTGTGTACTGAATTTATAGGAGTAATAAGTTCTAGCAGAATTTGAAACAGTAGAACTTATTTGTTTGTTTATAAATGGTTGCACAGCGGGAATGGGCCATCTGTGGATGCAAGCAGGCTAGTTGTTGATGTGACATAAATAAACTACTATGCAATTTAATAAAAACCCAACCTTTTTGCTTTCTGCAACTGTGAATGCTGTGCCACGCTTGCTCACTCGCTCGTCTTTACAGATCCCTGCTCTGAAATTGAGCAAGCGATGAGCTGAGCTGCTCCGTGGCACTGTTGCACTCTTAAAAAGTAGAAGTCAAAAACTGAAAATGTAACAAATAACACAATTTTACCTTCACTGCTCCATCCAAACTTGTGAAATTTGCTTAAAATTACTCCAGCTCTTTTACTCAGTTAATAATGTAGCTTCCAGCACATTAACTTTTTGTTGTGTTTAAACCTTTGCCAGGACGGGAGCAGTTTCATGGCCTCGGGTCTATGTACTGCAGAGGAGCGGCCGCGGTGATTCTCACGTATGATGTGAACAGCCTCCAAAGCCTGACGGAGCTGGAAGAAAGATTCTTGGCACTGACAGACAGTGCGAGTGCTGACTGCATTTTTGCTATTGTTGGAAATAAAGTTGACCTCAGCGATGACTGTGCTTTACCACCGGATGAAAATAGAGCTGAGAAGTCTGTTGCCAGCTGTGGCTCGAAGGTGCGAAAACAAGTCCGTGCAGAGGATGCGATTGCGCTCTATAAAAAGATACTGAAATACAAAATGCTAGATGAGAAGGATGTTCCAGCAGCTGAGAAAATGTGCTTTGAGACCAGTGCAAAAACAGGTTATAAGGTGGACTACCTCTTTGAAACTGTGTTTGAGATGGTAGTCCCGATAATTGTACGGCAGAAAGCCGAGGGGCCATCGCAAACTGTAGACATTACTGACTACAAGCCAGCAAAAAGGACAAAATCTGGTTGTTGTGCCTGAACTGTTTACATGACATAAGAAAAGGGGAGGGATTGTTTGCTCCAGCAACCTGAGGAGTAACAAGTGCTTGCAGTTCACCAGAAAGGAAAAATCAAAGCATAAAATGGTGTATGTGAAAAAGACAAATCTTCTGATCATCAAAGGTTTCTAGGAAGCTCTGTATATGAAAATGGGAATGTGAGTGAAATTATGGAGGAAGACTTGCCACTTTCCATGGGCTCTGAAGATAAATGGTGTGTTAGTACAATTGGTAGCGACAATCATTTGAACAGTTTTGAAGAGTCTGTCTTTAATGACTTGCCATTTCATGTTGCATGTCAGTGATCTGTTTGTGTACTTTCGACAGCTTTCACATGATTTTCATCTTTCCCATTGCGATTCTAACTTTGGAAGACTGAACACACGGTGCTTTTTTATTCTTAAGAAAAAAAAAGAAAATCCAGGTATAATTTATATTTGTAGCTAAATAAATCAATTACAGTCTTTTTATGTCAGATATGACAGTGTAAGATTCAGAAGCTGAACTATTAAAATCACTGTGGATACCTGCTATTCATTTGGAGACTTTATTAATGTGAATTCTCCTTCCATAGTGGGCTTTCATGTATTAACAGGCAGCATCACAGCTCTTGCTGCTCTAATTGCAAGTTGCAGGAGGAAGTTTTTTCTTTAATTTTTCTCTTGTAATTCTTTTTAATGTGGATAGCAAACCTTTTTTTGGGGAAGGAGGCAGTTTTCTATTTTGTCTGCGTTTTGTAGAGACCTCTTTATGGTGCCTATAGGATACCACAGTGTCGAATACCAGTGTTTTGTCTCCCTTCCAACTCCTCCTCCTTAATTGTGCCCAGGCAAAGCTGCAGCTTTGATTTTTAGCAGCTATGCATGACGTTACCATCTACCTGGAGGGAAGCGAGGACTGGCATTTTCTGATCTGAAACTGGCTAATGTAGGAGGAAGGGAAGAGAAACTGCCTTTTGTGGAGCAGAAAAGTGCATGAAGGAGCACTAATGAGGTACGTGGTTTCTCTCCTGACTGCAGTAAGAAGGAGAGGCTAATACTCAATGCTGCTCCTAGAGTTTCCCAACCCACTCAGCTACAGAGAACGTGTGTGTTGACACAGGAGCTCACAGTGAGACACCATAAGGAGTTAAAAACTGATAGGTTTTTTTAAAACAAAACAAAATACTGCGCCTTGCAAAAAAAACCCTCCCCAAACCAAACAAAAAAAATCACCTCACAAAGATGCAGCTTGCATGTTTCCAATTCTGGAAGTTGTTGTGTGGGGACTCCTTCATCTTCCTGTGGATACTTCTGGCATAAACTAATGAGTTTATTTTCTCAAACTAATGAGTTGGTTGTTCTTAGGCTTTGCCTTTCTCTGTCCCACCCAAATTGTAGTTGTTTAGTACACAGGGAGACAATTCCTAAATGAATAATGAATTAAATTATTACTAAGTATATTTAAAACTTTTTTTTTTTTTCAAAAGTATGTCCTCTTGAGCAACTTGCTGCAGGGTAGTAGCTTTATTTTTCTGCTTTCGAGTTTGTTCACAGTACACATGTAGTGGGGAAGAATGGCTCGAGAGAAAAACCTCTGTACGTTTGATCATAGAATGGTTTGGGTTGGAAGGGACCTTTAAAGGTCATCTAGTCCAACCCCCCTGCAGTGAGCAGGGACATTTTCAACTAGGTCAGGTTGCTCAGAGCCCTGTCCAGCCTGACCTTGAATGTTTCCAGGGATGGGGCTTCTACCACCTCTCTGGGCAACCTGTGCCAGTGTTTCACCACCCTCAGTGTAAAAAATGTCTTCCTTGATATCTAGTCTGCATCTACCCTCTTTTAGGTTAAATCCATTACCCCTTGTCCTATCACTAAAAGCCCTGCTAAAAAGTTTGTCCCCATCTTTCTTACAGGCCTCCCTTAAGTACTGAAAGGCCACACAGTAAGGTGTCCCTGGAACCTTCTCTTCTCCAGGCTGAACAACCCCAACTCTCTCAGCCTGTCCTCACAGGAGAGATGCTCCAGCCCTCTAATAATTTTTCTGTCCCTCCTCTGAACCCACTCCAACAGGTCCATGTCTTTCTTAATGTCTGGGTTATGATGGGTTGTCACTCTGCCAGCCTGTGAGAGATCATGGGGTTGCACAGCAGAACCTGGGAGGCTGCGTAATACACGGGAGATTATTGGTAAGTTGTCAGGAAGAGATCTGGATTGCTCAATGTACACGCTAGCCCCATTTCTCCATTACTCTCTGAAGTCAGATTGTGCCTTCAAGCAAAACTTGAGGTTTCTGGAGTTTGAGGAAGGATTTTATTTATTTATTGTTCTAGTAGTTTAAACTGCTGTACCTGAGCTCCGTTTTCACAGTTTAGTGTTGATGCTTTATCTGCTGCCGCAGATTGCTCTGTGTGTCTGCAAGGCATCATTAGACAGCACAGCTCAACCCTCAACGCTTCAGCACTGAAATTGCATGGATTTTATTTTTGTATAGAGGTGCTGTGGTGTGGGGTGGTTTGGTTTTTTTGTTTTGTTTTGTTGTTTTTAACAACATAGTGGAGCAATACAATAATACAATATGGCCTAGTCTTTAATTACATAAAGTAATTAAATTTCCCTGTTGCTTCTGCAGGTGCATCCTGATATCCCAGAACTATTAAAGGCAGATTTTTTGCCCATCCCATCCTACATAATTTCACTGGAACAATTCAGATTGACTTATTGACGGGGAGGAGCAGTGAAGCTGCAGGGTAGGGGACTGACAGCACAGGAACTGCACTAATGTGCACTTGTTCTGACTCTCGTTGTCGTCATAGCCTCACAGCGTAGAAGCTGGAGGCTGGGCCGCTGGTCAGGCTGGGCCAGCACTGGGGCCCACGTTAACAATGGCTGTGCCAGGCACCTGTTTGATGCCAGCTCTTCTGCATCCCACCAGCTACAGCCAGTGTTTTCCTCCATTGCTGTGGGGTTGCTTGTCTGTGCCTGAGGTGGTGGCTGGGCCAGGCTGTGACCCAAGGGGGATGGAGGGATGGCAGGTGAGTGGGTGAGGACCTGTGACAGGCTCATGGGGAAGGCACCATCCTGCTTCCTGCCCCTCACAGGTGCTGGTGGGGTGTCATGGTTTAGCCCCAGCCAGCAAGGCAGCACCACATGGCCACTCACCCATTTCCCTCTGGTGGGGTGGGGGAGAGAATTGGAAGAGTAAAAGTAAGCAAACTTGTGGGCCGAGATAAAGGCGCTTTAATAGGTAAAGCAAAAGCTGCACTTGCCAGCAAAGCAAAACAAGGAATTCATTCA